CTGGAGAGATGAACCAAGGGGAAAAGCGTTAGACATACAGACATACAAAACGTACGCACTGAAATAAACACACATACAAGATCACACACGCACACGCTGGCGCAAATACTGCCATACACAATCCCAAGCAAACGCAGGCGCACAAGGGGGGGGGGAGATGAACAACAAGAGAGAAGGCAGGGAGGTTAACCAGGCACATGCCCGGTTTGCTACCCTACGCTGGGGGAATGGGAAGAGGGCATAACGATGAGAGAGAGAGAGGAAAGAGAAGAGAAATAGAGAAAAAAAAAGGATTGTCAGTCACTCAATGGGCTGACGCGTATGGAGCGGTGGCACTACACAAAAGTTAAAGGTGGTCACGTAGGCCTATAGTCCTCAAAAAGCACAAGACAGTTTTTACTGCTTTTTGAGCCGACGAAAGGCGAGGATGGTGTTCAAGTACAGGCGCACCACAAACGTATGCACACGCAGGCGCACACGTACACACACATAAACGAGCACGCGCACAGCCGCACACACATGCGTTCACAACTACAAGTTAGGAATTACACACGTTAGCTTACAAAGTGAATATTTTGAAAATTAACGCGCATGCGAAAACCCAACAAACCTGTGTGAAGGCACAAAGAAAACAACATAGCACACTGACTCACTCAGAAAAAGCTAAGTTGACATGTATATGTGCTCGGTATGGAACTTAATGGACATTCCTGGTATGCATACAATTTTGTACAGATATCTAGGTACATATAAGAAAATTGCTAACAATTACCTCGCAAAGAACGAAGGGCATGAAAGTAACGAAGTTCATTTTCTTAATATTTTAAATTCACTGCTTGCCTCGCACGACATTTTTTTTTCGCTTCGGGGAACATAAAATAGGTTTACTCCTTCATCTGACATGCTGCTGCACTGAAACGAGCAACAGCCAGGCATCGCCACGAAGAACGACGCTCGGAATTCAACTCAGAAGCACGTTCGGAGTGGGAAGCCTGGAGGGTTCATGGCGTGCGCGGTGAAGGAAAAGCCCGCGAAGCCAGTTTGCGCGCTCATGACGTGACGCAAGGGTCACCTGATCAGCTGGTAGCGCGCGTCCCAGCCAGTCAGCGCTGCGTATGCGCCGGATCCTCAAAAGAGGGGGTGACAAAAGAGGAGGGCGATTGCACGGCGAGAATGAGACGGCGTAGATCAAGGAGTGTCGCTAGTTTCCCCCCCCCCCCAAAAAAAAAAAATGGGGACTTTAGTTTTTCCGCCTGGCGCAATTCTACACTTCTGTCATGCAATATTGCGCACGTCATGGAAACTCCTTCCACTGCATTGGGTTTATATACATAGTGTTTTTTGCCGAAGAAGTTTCAAACGCAGCCGTGTGGTAAGACGCCTGCTTGCCCGGCCGGGGGTCTGGGTTCGAGTTTTACTTAAACTGAGTTTTTTGTTATTTACTTCATTTGCATATTCCTCGATTTTTGGCTCATAATCAACGACAGCGACACCATAAATCTTGCGAAACAAGCTTCTTAACGCTATGGCGTTAAAAAAGAGGTGCCATAGGACGAGCATGTCTTTATTAAAGTTTGAAATCATTTGCCGTGTTGATATGAAATGGTTTACAATTATTGCAACACTACCGCATAACAGAGCACGGGAGAAGTTCATTGGAACCATTCCATTCGCATCGTTTTTCGGTGGCCGCAAGGTTAATGCCGCTCTTGTAGACATTCATCCGTCTATGCCCCTTAGCTGCGACGCTGGCTTGAGCAATCACCATCAGTACACAGCCGCGGGCCCGACGTATACAGACATTCCTCGCAGTAAGGCGCCATTAGCCGCAGCGAACAGGCAACATGTCCACTAATGATACGAGAGAGAGAGAGAGCGACGTCCTCCTTTCACACACATACACACACACACACACACACACACACACACACACACACACACACACACACACACACACACACACACACACACACACACACACACAACGTTGTGAGATTCAAGGTTATTTTACAAGAACAAGGTACAAAGCACAGAGTCTAAAACGAGTGCTAAAGGGCGAACACAGCCAACCACATAGTGCAGGCAAGCTAACAGGATGGGGTGGAACGAGCTACAGCTTGCGAGAAAGAAGAAACAAAATGCAAAGGAAGCTTGTTATTTTGCGCGGATCAATCCCGGCGATGCCTGGCTTTGTTCGGATCGGACCCCGCGGCCGCATACCGCCGGCCAGCATTCAGCCGTTCGCGATTTGGTAATGATTGCTATAAAAGAGGCCGACCTAAGTCAATAACAGAGACCTGTCTCCTCGTTACTCTGTCCCGAATAAAAGAGCGCGTAATCAAGAACGTCAGATTCCAGCCTAATTTTTTTAAAGCTCCAAGGAAATCAAACGTTGACACACACATTCCGCCGCCGCTCCAACAACCGCCCCAATCTCCAACATGTGTGCCAAGCTTGAGCACTCTCCGTAGAGGCTTAATGAACTCACCAAGTGTCGTTACGCTAGGAGCGAACACGAAAAAAAAAACGCAAGTAATGGCGTAATAACTCGCGGTCTATAGATGAAGCCAAACGCCCGTTATGCAAATAATAAGCGCCTTGGTGGCCGATATGTGCGCGCCGACGGTGGCGACAGGATTATTTTTTCAGTGTGTGGGTTTGCAATTTTTTACCACTCGGAAGCGTCTTTTTTGTAGCCATTTGGTGGTTTCGTGATATAGCTCTTATCGACTGTGCTTGACATTAGTTTATTAGACTTTCTCTGTCTGTGAAAGATGCGTTTCCTCCTGGTGTTTTTAAATGTACCCGAGCGGGCGAGTGCGAAGCATTTTTCCTTATGACCGTGTCTCCCTCAGCAGTGGACGGGAGGCGGGGGACAAATTACGCGTCATTTTCTTGAGGATTGCGTAGAAGTAGTTCATGGATGCTCGTTTACTGGCTCCAAGGAATTACTTGAGCTTCTGAATGTGGGTTCGAAAGAGGTGGCGATTTCTGCGAAACTTCGACGGGTGAACTGCTGGTCCACTGGACAAATGTCAGGTTGTGCACCAGAACTTCCGAAATTCTAAGCATGGGTGTGTATGTCCTTGTTTATGCCCATTAGTCCTAGTTTCTACTTTTTAGAGTACAATTATAGAACATTAGGTCTAAAGTAATCCTAAAAGTGTATCTCCAAACCTTCGGAATTAGATACAAAATAGATTGGTCGTTATACACAAATAAGACACGCACGGCTGCTATAGCTGTGTTTTTATTTTTTACAATTGACTTTTACTTGAATACTGCCATTGAACTCTTGTCGCTTTAGAAAAAGTGACAATAAGAAAGAAAATTGCATTTCCGAAAAAAAAAAAAAATGCTCTCCAAAAGCAACATATTATTATGGCCGTGGCGTAAATGGGGGATGGTGGGCGCCTCACTTGTCAACGCAAGAACAGTCTTGACTGCCTGGGTTTTTTTACAGCCGTTAAGATTGAAATTCAAGCTTTGGAAGCGGAGCTTCCTTTTAACATTGAAAGAAGCTTGCTTTCATGGTTAAACTGTGGGTGTTTACCTAGTTCACGTAGTACTTGTAGACATTGCGTGGATTCATTGTGCAGCAACGTTCCTGTTATTCGGTGTCATGAAAATTCGTGTGGTCACCGCCACTGGGATGAAAGTCGAGACCTCAGCAGTGTATCATCTCGCGCGGGTGGCGAGTAATTACATGGTTTCCTCATTGAAGAACCCCTGGTGGTCGAAGTTTCTAGAGCCCTCTATTACGGCATGCCTCAGGATCATATCATTGTTTTGGCACGTAAAACCCGAGTAGTGCATAATTTCATGGTTGTACTACATATTACAGCACAGGCACAATTAGAACTTTTCAAGGTCGTTGGGTTATACTGACGATACGTACACTCCGTAGGAAATATCGAAAAAACAAAACAAAACGCGCGAATGGGCGCTTATGCTCAACCGTGCAACAGCTGAAGAAGAAGCTACATGTTCCTCAGTTCACTTTGCACACAGTCGTTGGTATACAGTAATAAAACTTGCATGACGATTGAAACCGCTCGGTTTGTCTGATTGATTCATATTTTTAAGAGACCAGTCACTACTCTTTGTATTCTCTAAAATCACATAGGGCATACAAGATTCTGTCATTTTTGAATGAGGGTGTGAGCGCCTCTGATACCTAAATGCATCATTACTGAGGATTTTTTTTCTCGCTGGCGTAATCGTTAACATTTCACAATTTTATAGCTCATATGCTAACAAAAATGAAAAAATAAGCTTTTTTTCTTACAATTCTTTCCGAAATAAGTTTTTTTTGTATCTCTGATGAGAATGTCAAACAGGACAAAACAAAATGATTGGGTTTGGTGTTCGTTAGATTATGTTAGAGACATTAGCGTTGCGTACTAGGCTCAAGATGATCGCTTAGATCCCGGCCATTGGCAGCCGCGCTGAAATAGGAGGCGATGAGCGAGAACAATCTCTTACTTGTATTCGCGCAGCATGTTAAAGAACACCAGGTGATCCAAGTTATTGCGGAGTCATTTCACTTAATGTCTTGGTTCATATAGCTCCGTCGTTATAGCGCTTCAGAGAAAAAAAATATTTTGCGTGGCGCCGATGCACAATTTGCTGCAACAACGTTCGGCCCAATTTGAGGCTACGGGTGCATGCGTATCTGAAACGCAGCCATACACTTGGCTCTGATGGCGTGCTTCCTTGTCGTATGTCGGCGTGCTTTCCTTGTGATAGAAGGATTGTACGATGTAAACACAGCAGATTGAAAAAGAAATAACCAAAGGGTCAGGTGGAATGAGCAACTATCATAGTGTCCGGCCTGTCTTTATTGCATGCTTGGCTCCCCCCTCCCCCATCCGCAGTGTTCGCTGACTATCAGCTGTTAATCCAAGTTAAGCCACCAAAACATCTGTCCCCGTGCAGGCCGCTCTCACCTGTCAAGATTAGGTGTGTTGGTTCTTGTACGTATGTGCGAATGTAAAATA